TTCAACTTCTTTTTCTCAAAGATCAGATGCAATACCTTCAGAAACCAGATACTCTAATACTGATGCTGACAGATCCCATATGAGCAACTTAATTTTGGATCCTTCAGCCGCATCAAAATTGCCTGAAGCTGATAAAACTGTGAATGTACTACCTGTGAAAGAAACCTCAGCTGCTTTTGCCAAGGAGCGAGATAATTTGGAGCGGTGGAAAGCAGCAGATGCCTCTAGACCTGAAACAGACGGTAGGCAGCAGCGACTTTCTGTGTCCACTAACAGAATTTCTGCTGATAGGCCACCGAAGTTGCTAGACAGTGCATCAAATGGTATTCCAACTACAGCACCTTCTCAGCAAGAGCAAGTTCGACCACTTTTAAGTTTGTTGGAAAAGGAACCCCCTTCCCGGCTGTCTGGTCAGTTGGAGTATGTACGTCACCTCTCAGGATTGGAGAGACATGAAAGTATACTGCCCCTACTTCATGCATCTAATGAGAAGAAGTCAAATGGAGAACTGGATTTTCTGATGGCAGAATTTGCAGGTGATCCATTATACTTAGTTAATGTTCTTTGCCTCCTCCTCTTGAAGGAAATGTTTAGTTTTTATATTGTTGTCATAGAGATACATGAATGTTCAAGCTTTCTTTGTTGACAAGTGATTATGCATTGTTGTCTTAAAGAACTTGATTAGACGTTATGTCCCTTTTACACCATGTAACAAGTTTGTCGGTCTGCTTAATGAATCTTGACTGGCATGCTTGCTGGACATTTGTTTATCCCTACTTACTGTCAGTCCCCTTCAGGACTTGTGTGCTGTTGTAGCTTATATATTTAACCTGGATATAAAGCTTAGCCTGAAGAATTGTATCATGTCACTGTTTGTTCAGCTTCCCTAGCCTTTCATTTGTTAGTGGTATTTGTTTTCTACATTAGCACCCATGTTATCTGAATGGATTTGCTGTTTCTAGCAAAATTTGGCCCAGCTGATATCATTATTTTTGTTGTTAGCAGAAGCATCTGGGAGAGGAAAAGAAAATGGCAATCTAGAGTCAGCACCTAGAATTTCTCAAAGGACACCGAGTAAGAAAGGCAGCCCATTACTTTCTACTGATGGTGCTGCTTCCACGTCTGGTGTTGCTTCCCAAACTGCATCCGGTGTACTCTCTGGTTCGGGTGTGCTGAATGCTAGACCTGGGAGTGCCACATCATCTGGACTACTTTCCCACATGGTGTCGACAATGAACGCAGATGTTGCCAGGGAGTACCTTGAAAAGGTGGCTGACCTTCTGCTTGAGTTTGCTAAAGCTGACACAACTGTAAAATCTTATATGTGCAGCCAAAGTCTTCTTAGCCGTCTCTTCCAGATGTTTAACAGAATTGAGCCCCCGATTCTCTTGAAGGTATTAAAGGGAATGGATGTTACGTACCCTTGTCATAATAAAGTTTCTTTTTTCCTCTGTAATCTCATCTTGTTACTCAACTTTCAGATCCTCAAGTGCATCAACAACCTGTCTTGTGATCCCAACTGCTTAGAGAACCTTCAGCGGGCTGATGCAATTAAGTTCTTGATCCCAAACCTTGAACTGAAGGATGGACCTCTTGTTGGTCAAATTCATGATGAGGTAAGGTTTTTATTTATTTATAATGCATGAAGAGGTAAGGTTTCCCGACATGAAGAATGAGGAAATATCCACACACAAAAAAAAAAAAAAAAAATGCAGTGAATATGACATGCTTTTCTATCGCTTAAGCAATCCTAACAACTGCAAACCGCACATCTCAAGGCTTGATTTTGGACGGGCAATGATCCAATGCAATTTCGAATCTGACTGAATCGGCATAGAACAAAATAAAAAATGAAGGGGAAATTGGATTGAAAGTGCATTAAATCCAATTTGGTTCAGTGTGGTTTCAGTTCAGTCCGTTTCTTCCAATGTTCTTTAGAGAAGCCATGGAACCGGAACAAAAAAAAAAAAAAACCCTTGAATTTTGAGAATCGAAACCTAGTTGAATTATATTTTCATCTAGCTCCACTCGTTCAGAATATCTATTTGTCTGATTTGGTCAAGTGAATCCTTGCTCATTCCTTTCAGGCATACTGTCTGTTGTTTGTATTAGAGTAATCACTCAGATATCATGGAACCAATGTTGTATCACAATTTTTTCTCTAATTTTCTGCAGGTCCTTCATGCTCTCTTTAATCTATGTAAGATAAACAAGAGGAGACAGGAGCAAGCTGCTGAAAATGGAATCATTCCTCACCTGATGAATTTTATCATGCAAGGATCTCGCTTAAAACAGTATGCATTGCCTCTGCTGTGCGACATGGCTCATGCATCCCGGAATTCCAGAGAGCAATTAAGGGCCCATGGTGGATTGGATGTGTATTTGAGCCTGCTGGATGATGCATCATGGTCTGTGACAGCATTGGACTCAATTGCTGTTTGTTTGGCTCATGACAATGACAACCGCAAAGTGGAGCAAGCTTTGCTTAAAAAGGATGCAATTCACAAGCTAGTGAAGTTTTTCCAGAGCTGCCCTGAGCAACAGTTTGTGCATATTCTCGAGCCTTTCTTGAAAATCATCACGTAAGTGATTTGTTTTCTTGTGGTTTGCTTTTATACTTTTTATGCCATTTTCTGTATCTAAGAATTGAAGCAAGCTAAAATTGTTTTTTGTTTTCCTTGCCCTTTCCGCTGTATGGCTTTGTCTTCTTAACAAAAAAAATTCCATGTTCGATGTGTCGTCTGGTCTAAATGTGCAGGAAATCATCACGGATAAATACTACGCTGGCTGTTAATGGTTTGACACCATTGCTCATTGCAAGGCTGGACCATCAGGATGCCATAGCTCGTCTCAACTTGCTTAAACTAATAAAGGTAGAGTCTCTACTGTTCCCTGTTGTGTTGCATGGATGTTCTTTCAACTACTCATACACTCACCCAGCAATTGAATGAGAAGCAAGCATCGTTTTGTCTTTGTCAAGGCTTCTCTTCAGTGGCCTTTTTGTTTACAACAAATGTGCTTGACGTGGCGTTTCTTTTCCCTTCATCCTAGGCTGTATACGAGCATCACCCTCGGCCGAAGCAATTGATCGTAGAGAATGATTTGCCTCAGAAGCTTCAGAACTTGATCGAGGAACGACGAGACGGCCAAAGCTCCGGTGGTCAGGTATTGGTAAAACAAATGGCTACCTCGCTGCTTAAAGCTCTACACATCAACACGGTTTTGTAAAATGTGAATATGGTAAGTCGTGTATATTGTTTTTGTTGGAAGAACTTGGTTTAGGCTATTCCCGTTGTTGTATTGTAATATCAATCGCTTCTCTGTGTTTCTTTAACCCTCTGGTGTGTACCCTGAACGGCTTGGGGTTTAGGGTGTGTGATCATTTCGATTAATTTAGGAACTAAGACGCAGGTAGCTCGCCATATATTTGTTTGTACGAGCTACCTACGCCTTCGTGATTTGATTTCTTTTCTTCTTCTTTCCTTGTTCAAGAGTTAGTTACGCTGAGTTTATTTGTTTCAGCTATTGAAGGTATTTGTTTGTTCAGTACCGTACTACACATGATGCCATAGTGTTGCAAGCTTACTTTGGCTTGAAGGACCTCTTTTTTCCCAGCCTTCTTTTCTGGTCATTGTTAAATTCACTTTGATGTTGCTGTAGTGGCGTAAGATTTTCACATAATTCTGTATTTCTGATTCGTTTGTACTAAACCTACAGCCATGTGTTATCTGTTATTATGGATCTGTTGAAGCTGGTGCACTAGATGCTCTGGCCGTTGGTGACTCACTGCACTGGTGTAGCTTATGTGGACGTCATGTATTCGGCACACCAGGATTATGCCCAAATGCATAATCAGATCTGGTATCTTGCTTTTTTTTTGTAAGGGCGAAATTAATTTATTAAAAAGAAACGATTATACAAAAGCCAACAGAGCACAAGATTAAATTGATCCTAACTATGGGAAAACAAAGAGACCAAGAGGAAAAGTAACAGGGAAAGTCAGGTCCCGACTTAGATAAAAGTGTTTTTTTTTTTGTAGGAAGGCGGACGACAGTGCGTCCTAATTCATTAAACCGATGCAACGATCCATGGAGTCATACAATAATCATTTACAAAGATTGAGTTTGTACATATATAAGGAATGTATACCAAAAGGGGCTAAATGACCGTTGCTTGTCAAGAAATCGGCTGCGAAATTTCCCTCATGTCTAAATTTCCCTTTTTATAGACATGGGAGATTTTAACTTTCCAATCAAAATTCAAAAGTTTCCCAATGGGTGCCTGTGATAAGTTCATGTCGGTGATCCGTGTCTTCGAAGTTTTTATGATATTGATTGTTGTTGAAGAGTCGAGGTTCAATTCAACCTTGCGAAAGCCCTTCTCCCACGCTCTTTGCAGCCCAACTTCTGCTCCTCTAAGCTCGGCCATGGTAATTGTGCAGCTCCCCAAGTTGCAAGTGAAGGCGTCAAGGCATCTTCCAAGGTGGTCGCGAAGGAGAACCCCTACTGCTGCATTCCCTGAATTTTGCATCACTGATCCGTCAGTTTGGATTTGAATCCAACTTTCTCCAGGTGATGCAAAATTTAATAAGTTGTTCATAGATTAAAAGAGAAGGTTAGTTGTCTTACTTGTCTTCTTTCAAAAATATTCTTGGTTGTCTACCTTGCTCAACCAGTTTCTAAAGAATATATAAGGGGTTTCTCAAAAAAGGCTTCACGGATTCAAAATTCTCCTTCCCTCAAGCGTCCACGTCAACACAGCCTCTAGCCAATCAAATAATTAATAAAAAATAAAAGAAATCCAACCAACAAAAGGATCAGCCCTCGGTGACACTTCCTCCATTTTTGGATTTCTTTCTTTTCCAATTTCAACGTGCTTTTGCATTTCTTCCTTTACATGTATTTTTCTTAAATAAAATATTTATTTCCAACATACACAAATTACCATCTAAAACATTGCTACCGCATATTATATATTTAAACAATGTATAAAATTTTCACCGTGTTTATAATAAGAAAAAAATACAATTATATTTCATATGCACTAGCAAGTTGTAGTGTATATATATTGCATAGCATAAATAATTTGTGTATGTTGGGTAAGATTCGGTCCAAATATTTTAAATATTAGCTGCACGATTAGTCTAAATTTTGGAAATTATGGAATGACATATATTGTTTAGATATTTATTTTGAGTGTTTCATGGAATGAGATTTCATGAACTATAGTTTGATTATTTTTTTTTTGTAAAACTTTATATCCAACTGTTTCAATATTGGATAAACGAGTCATTGTGAGTGTGATGATAAACAATTGATATATTATAACATGATCATGTTATACATTCAGCCAAAATTTAATATATCTCAATTTAGAGTTAGATGTTTTCACTTATAAACTAACTTATATTGTATCAATATCGTGGGTGTCCCGGAGGGACTAACTTAGTTTTGGTATATACACGCCAAATTCTCAAACCATACATTCGGTGATTCGGATTATACACAATGAATAACAATATTTCTTGAACACTATATGAATATTAATTCAAGTATGACAACAAATCATTTAATATAAACATAGTGTATGCTTGAGATTAATAAGAGTTTCAAGATATAAACAAAATTTCTCAAAATTAAATTAATAGTTAAAAGAAACTCACCCGGCCAATGACTGGGATCAAAGCTAGTTTCATAGATTAAAAGAGAAATGAATCACTACAACTCATCGCCCGGTCGGCTTTCTCCTGTCTTTTAACCTTCTGAAGCATATCTTACCGACTGATTCACTCCCCACTTCGTCAGCATTCGTGACGTGCGTCATTCAACTTCCCAGTCTCCTACCAATATTAATTAATTAATTAATACACTTCCCCAAAGCTCCACTCCTCCCCTTCCCTCAAGAATCAAATACTAGATAAGATTACTTTTGCTGCAACAGAAGGAATATCAACACCACCAAAAAAAAAAAAAAAAAAAATGCTGCCAGCAATTCTGTCGATATTCTTACTGGCTTTCGTCGCCGCGATCAACCTTCAGTTGCTAGCCACTTCTCGCATCAACACCCTCCTCTTCGACCCGCAACGAGATCACGACTTGTACGTAGCAGCAGCTTTCACAACAACAACAAGAAGAAGAAGAAGAAGAAGAAGAACAAATGTGGACCACGACGAGCAGCAGCCTTGTAACAACAACGACGACGAGGGTCTGAGCATGAATGCGTTTCTTCACCCGCAGAACCTGAACCATGGAATGAGCGATGAGGAGCTTTTCTGGAGGGCTTCCCTGTTGGTGGCTAACTACTATCCCTTCCATAGGGTCCCTAAAGTGGCTTTCATGTTCTTGACTAGAGGGCCTTTAACACCAGAGATGAAATGGAAACCCTAAAAACCTGATTTGTTCTCATTCACTTTGAAGCATATATATGGTTTCCAGTAGCTACAGTCCAAGTCTTGAAGGTGAAAGAAAGTGAAAAAGTACAGAGGTGAAAAACAGAGAAGACAGCTTTTGAATTATAACGTTTCTATTGCTGATTTGGCGCCATCTTCTTCTTCTTCCCTTGTACGACGTCGCTCCAGCTTAACTTGTGCGTTTCAGCTGATGATTGTTTTTGTTCAGCTGTTACCCCCCGCAAGCTGGTGGGCAGAGAATCTGCAGACCAAGCTTGGAGAGAAGGTAGGTGAAGGTGGCTGGAGGCAATGGTTTGGTGAAGATGTCTGCCAACTGATGGGATGAAGAGACATGGAGAATCTTGATAGTGTCAGACTGTAACTTCTCTCGAACCAAATGGCAGTCGATTTCTATATGTTTTGTGCGTTCATGAAATGTGGGATTTTATGCAATGTGAATTGCAGATTGGTTGTTACAGTAAATACTTGCTGGTTGGGGATGAGGCATATGGAAGTCACGCAGCAAATACAGTAACCATTGAATCTCACAGGTGGTGAATGCAAGGGCCCTGTACTCAGCTTCACATGAAGACCTGGAGACAGTGTGTTGCTTCTTGCTTTTCCAGGAAATGAGTGCTGAGCCAAGATAGATACAGTACCCTGTAATGGATCTTCGAGTATCAGGACAGGAAGCCCAGTCTGAGTCACTGTAGCCCTTTAGGTGCAGGTCACTAGAAGCTGGAAAGAATAAACCTGTGCTTGGTGCATATTTGAGGTATCTGAGAACTCTGAGTAAGGCTTTGTAGTGGTCTTCACCTGGATTGGCCATGAATTGACTCAGCTGCTGTGTGGAGAAGCTGATGTCAGGACGAGTTGTGGTGAGGTATATCAGCTTCCCAACAATTCGTCTATATAGTTCAGCATCAAAGAGAGGTGCATCATGAGTGGCAGACAGATAAGATTTGTAATCCATGGGAGTGGTAACTGGCCTGGAGAGAAGAACACCAGCCTCTTCAATCACTTCAAGGGTATACTTCCTCTGAGAAAGATGAATTCCAGAACTATCACGAGAAACTTCAAGGCCAAGGAAGAATTTCAGATCACCCAGATCCTTAATGCTGAAGGTGGAGTGCAGGAATTCTTTGATTTGGGTGATTTCAGTCAGATTATCACCACCAATGATCAAGTCATCTACATATATCAAGATGCAAGTATAGGATGTAACAGTGGCCTTAAAGAAGAGTGAGTGGTCCACTTTGCTTGCTTGGTAACCCTGTGCACATAGACTTTCAGCCAGAGTAGCATACCATTGTCTTGGAGCTTGTTTCAGGCCATAGAGGGACTTCTTCAACAGGCAGACTGGGTTGGAAATGCCAGGAGGGGCATTGTAGCCTTTAGGTAGCTTCATATACACTTCCTCCTGGAGATCTCCATGGAGGAAGGCATTGTTGACATCAAGTTGGTGGACAAACCAATTCTTGGCAGCAGCAATAGCTAAAAACATTCTGACTGTGGTGAGTTTGATAACTGGGGCAAATGTATCCTGGTAATCTACTCCTTCTTGTTGGCTGAACCCTTTGGCTACTAGCCTTGCCTTGTGCAGGTCAAGCTGTCCATTGGAGAGGAATTTCAGCCGAAAGATCCACTTGCACCCTATAGCTCGTTTCCCTGGTGGGAGACTGACAATAATCCAGGTATGGTTCTTTAAGAGTGCCTGGATTTCCCTTTGAACAGCATCATTCCATTCAGGATATAATATAGCTTCCACATATGTGTCTGGTTCTTTAAGGGAGGAGATACTGAGAACAAATTTTTGATGTGGGAAAGAAAGACTGGAATAATCAAGAACATCAGAAAGGGGGTAAGTGATACCTGATTGTTGGTTCTCTGAAGAGTGACTGGTAGAAGAAGACTGCATGAGCAGGTTGCAATGGTATTGTTGAAGTTTGGAGGGTGGTTTGGTTGTTCTGGGTTGTTTCCTGAGTGCAATGGGAAGGGATGGTGGGGTAGGTTGAGTGTCTGGACTAGGTGGATCAGTGTGATCAGGGGTAGGTTGACTAATTGAGGATTGCAGGGGTGATGATGAGGGAGGGATGGCAGGTGGAGGGGAAGGCATGGCAAGGTCTGGGAAGTCCATAGATGGATCAGTAGTGTAAAGAGGAGGATGATCAGATTGTTCAAGGTGGAATGATTCTTGAAAGGGAAAGATGTGTTCATAGAAGATCACATCCCTGGAAATGAACACTTCATGGGTGTGTAAATCATAAATTTTGTATCCTTTTATCCCTGTGGGATAACCAATAAAGACACCTTTTCTGGCTCTGGATTGGAATTTGGTTCTATGGTTGCTTAATGTAAAGGCATAACACAGGCAACCAAAGACCCTTAAGTTTTGAAAATTTGGAGGCTGTTGATTAAGCTTTTGATATGGAGTTAGTTCACCTAAAATGGATGTAGGAACTCGATTGATAAGATAAACAGCATGTCTCACACACTCACCCCAGAACCCCATAGGAAGATGTGATTGAAATTTCAGTGCCCTTGCCACTGCCAAAGTATGTTGATGTTTTCTCTCAACCTTACTGTTTTGCTGTGGTGTTTCAACACAACTCATCTCATGAACAATGCCAGTGGAGGAAAAGAAGTCTGACATTGAGAACTCTCTGCCCTGGTCACTCCTAATCTTTTTGACAGAATGATTGTATTGTTTTTCAGTAAGGTTGCAGAATTCTTGCAGTTTAGGGCGTGCCTGAGATTTGTTCTCAAGTAAGACTATCCAGGTAAGTCTACTGAAGTCATCTACTATAGTTAAGAAGTATTTAAAACCATCAAACGTGGGATAAGCACAAGGACCCCAAATATCAACATGTATTAAGGCAAAAGGATGTTCTGAAACAGTAGTACTATCAGGAAAAGACAGCCTTCTTTGCTTGGCAAAGTGGCAAACATCACAGGGTTTGGAGCTCAAGGTTTCTATGGATTTACAAAACGTTTTCAGCTGTGGTATCTTGAAGTGAGAGACATGTCCTAACCTATAGTGCCAGAGATCAAAAGCTTTTGCAGTAGTAGTTGCTATGATTGGCTTAGGGCTACTGGGAACTCCTATGTTGGTCATGTGGTAAAGGCCATGGTGAAGCTCAGCAGAATCAGTCACTCTTCTGAGTTCCATATCCTGTATCATACAAAATTTGAGTAGAAGGTTAAGCAGATGGATTTGTTGGTTATCAGTTTGCTTACTGAGATCAGGTTGAAGGAAAAGTGGGGAACATATAGAACTTCTTCTAACACCAGGTCAGCCACTGATGTGACTGTGCCTATGTGTGTAGCAGCCACTTGATCACCAGTGGGAAGGGAAATGAAGATATTTGAAACAGGTCTGCAATTCTCTAACAGGTGCAGAGAGCATACAATATGGTCAGAGGCACCTGTATCCAAGATCCAGGTAGAATGGATGGTTTCCTACCAGACACAGTGAAGGATGATTTACCTGGTGAGCCTTCATAGCTGTTGAAGGCAGCAACAGTGTGCTGAGATTGCTTCTGAGAGTCCTTGTCTTTGAGCATTGCCATGAATCGATCATAATCAGATTTGGTCAGACGAAATTCTTGTTCAGCAGGAGCAGATTCACTGGAGATGACAACATTAGATTGGGGTCTGGAAACAGGACTAGACTGAGGGGGTCGAGGTTGTCCTCCAGCAGGCCAGCCATGCTTATGATAGCATCTGTCTTCAGTGTGCCCTTTCCTCTTGCAAAAAGTGCACTCCAAAGGCTTAGAGGTAGTTGGTAAGGGCCTTGGAAGCATACCAGGTGGCCAGCCATGCTTGTGGTAACACACATCCTCAGTGTGACCATTCTGCTTACAGTAAGTGCAAAAGGGGCGCCTACCAGGAGGACCAGCACGTCTGCTTTGGGAAGCCAGAGCAAAGGAATCAGAAACAAGGACTTTGCCTTGTTGAGTACCATAGTGTTGCCTCTCATGTTGGAGGAGCCTTTGAAAGACTTTGTCAATCGATAGAAGAGTGTCACCAAACAAGACTTGGGATCTAACAGTACTATAGTTGTCATTGAGACCACGAAGAAACTGGATGATATAGTTCGTGTCTCTATAGCCAAGAACCAACTTGATAGCAGCACACAACTGAGGACTAGTTTCTGTGCAAGTGCAAAGCTCAATCGGTTGATACCCATCTAGTTCATCTTGAATAGTAATGAACTGACCATAATATTCATTTAGTGTTTGAGTTCCTTGCTTCAAACTAGACAGGGCCTCAATTAGTTCAGCTATGCGAACAACATCACCTTGACCATAACGTGCTTTCAAGCTTAGCCAGGCCTCAGATGCAAGTTTGAGAGACATGAGGGTTTTGCGAATACCTGGTTCGACAGCCTGCTGGATCCAGCTGAGGACCATAATGTTGTTACGACTCCAGGACCAATAGAGAGCATCAGTAGCAGCAGGAGGAGCAATGGTGCCATCAATGAAGCCGATTTTGTTCTTCGCTCCAAGGGCATTAAACATTACTTTGCTCCAATCATTGTAGTTTGTGGTGGTGAGTTTTTCACCTACCAAGAGAAGACCGGGTTGTTCTGACCCATGAAGATAATAAGGATCGGACATTGGATCGATATTGATAGGGTTGGGAAGAATGGGTTGGGAAGAGAAGTCGGCCTGTTGAGCGGCCATTGTTTGTTAGCGGCGGCTAGGATTGAGGCTCTGATACCATAACACCAGAGATGAAATGGAAACCCTAAAAACCTGATTTGTTCTCATTCACTTTGAAGCATATATATGGTTTCCAGTAGCTACAGTCCAAGGCTTGAAGGTGAAAGAAAGTGAAAAAGTACAGAGGTGAAAAACAGAGAAGACAGCTTTTGAATGATAACGTTCCTATTGCTGACTTGGCGCCATCTTCTTCTTCTTCCCTTGTACGACGTCGCTCCAGCTTAACTTGTGCGTTTCAGCTGATGATTGTTTTTGTTCAGCTGTTAGCCTTTGCCCTTGTTGCCGCTGTGGGAGAGGTTCTTTAAGGGACACGACCACTACTTGTCTGTTTATGTTCACGCCAGTACTCCTGGCTTTGTGCTCCATGTT